TGAGATACTTCTGTTGCAGCCGTCACACTGATGAGGTCCAGTTGCAGCACTGATTGGGAATGTATGCGAATTTAATGGACCGAAACATTTCAATTCAGTTTTTATTTTAACTTTTATTTTAATTAAATTTTTATTTTAATTTTATTTTTTTATTTTTTATTTTAGTTTTATTTTTTAATTTTTATTCACAACCTTTTTCATAACCTTAAAATATTTGAATTTCAATAACAGTGTTCAAAATTCACAGCGACAGTATTTTTGGGCCTAAGTATCTCAAAACAGGAGTCAAATTTTGATAGAATCGAAAGTTACTGATACTATCGGAATACTTCTGTGCCTGTGATATTACTGAGATGCTTCCAACCTCAACGGATTAGTAGAATAGAAGGATTGGTCTTAAGTGTCATGTGTCGCAGGACATTTTACGGTGCAGCCATCTGTGTTTCATCCCTTAGCTGTAAACACTAATCGAGCACTAGTAGGATCGGAAGCCTTTCAAGCACTGTTGCCCAAAGCTGATATTTTCAAAAAATGCTAGTCGCCTATCGATTTATATGTACCCAATTAATATAATTGATTACATTAAAAGAAATTCGCTTTTTTTAACCTCTGTAAGACCAATGTTGGAATATGGTGATCCGTGATATTCATGCTTCGAAGCTGGCTTATGTAATCCGTCAAGCAGACGTACATCCTAAAATGTTCAAAATATCAATTCCGAAGAAACAGAGTAGAATGGAAGAACTATAAAAGCCCAAACCTAAATTGAACATTCCAAGCACGGTCGACGGGGAGACCGGAATTGTCAAGCGATATTTTGTGGCCGCTTATAGGCCGAAGAAAAAATACCTTCTCAAATAATGGACCGTATAAACCAAAGAAAACCCGGAGAATTTAGGGAAACAAGGATAAAAACAAAGGGGGGAAAATCATGTACATTTACTTACCTCCATTCTCCTCAATTTCCTTTTTGAAAAAAAACCCAATTCTCACCTCTCCCATTCAACACCTCACATACACATGCAATTTTTGGTCATTCCCGAACCAACAATTTGACTTAATTACATTTAGCATGCTTCATTTTATTTTACAACCTTATCATATGGCCATTCCTGCTCTTTCTCCTTGTATACGACATTTTTGCCAAACATTTCTCGTTCACGAAAACGAATCACCACTTGGTCTTCATCGGTGAACAAAAATCGATTGTAAAATCGAGGCAGTGAGCCAAAACCAGCCTGAAATTCGAAAAAATTTCACAAAAACGCTAAAAATGAAAAAAGGAGGACTAAGATTTCAAAACAATTATAACTTTTAGGAGAAAATTTTGGGATGAAATGCAATGAAAAACTAGTAGTTTTTTTGTTCAATAAAATACTAATAACAGGAAATTTTCGATTTAGGATCACAAAATTTTTATGAGAACACCAGTACTACAAAAATTCTACTTCATCGAATTAGTATAAAATGACCTCAGAAGAAAGTATCCACTTCAAAATGGTCATAATTTTTTCCAAGAAAAATTCAGGATGAAGTGCAAAATTCGAAAAAAATCATGAAATCTCGGCAAAATTATAAGATTTCAAAACAAGCTAACCTGAGAGGTCAGTTTTCTCCTCAACTGAATATGCGTATCATCGATATCGTTCGATTTTCCATCAATCGTCCGTACGTCAATCCATCGTTCAAAACGATCCAGC